GTGGCCAAGCCCTGGCAGCATGGGGAAGCAGAGAGGGGCGTGGCAAAGCCCTGGCACCATGGGGAAGCAGAGAGGGGCGTGGCCAAGCCCTGGCACCATGGCGAAGCAGAGAGGGGCGTGGCCAAGCATGTGCACCATGGGGAAGCAGAGAGGGGCGTGGCCAAGCCCTGGCACCGTGGGGAAGCAGAGAGGGGCGTGGCCAAGCCCTGGCACCATGGGGAAGCAGAGAGGGGCGTGGCCAAGCCCTGGCACCGTGGCGAAGCAGAGCTCAGAGCAGCTGAAGTGCAGTAAATCCTTGAGAATGCACTTAAAGCAACTGCTGTAAAAGTGATGATTTTTTTCCTTCGTTTCGGAACTGGAAATCAACACACCAGGTCAGGGGAAGGGAGTGCATATATAACAGAGAGCAGCTTCTGTCCAGACTCACTGCTCATCCCCTCTCCTTCACATGCATTCAGCTGTCGGGGTAGCAAGGTGAACAACAAAGGAGAAGATCATCTATCAGTCAGTGTGGAACCAACACCACAGGTTAGTCTCTTTGGGACAGTAATGTGGGCTGATTGATCACAATGGTGTTTATTTACAATGCAAAACACCCCCCCAACCCCTGAGATTGTAACCCATTTCAGTACAGCTTATGTTACATCCGTCTATATAGAGCATGCCACTACACCTTCTGAAATGTCTATGTAAAATACTGGAAATACTCATACTACATATATTAATGAAAAATAAACATATGATTAATGCAGCATGTCATAATGGCAGACAGGTCTATTTTCTGCATGTTGCAATATTGATTGCCAGTGACCACAAAGCCTTAAACAGCACGGCGCTCTACCCTTGATCTTGGAGGGCTGCAATACTCCCGATTCTCAAGGACTTTTATTCCGGATTCACAACACTCTCAGATCAGGGGAGACGGACGCTTGTCGTCACCGAAGACCGCGCGACGCCACGCGCTGCCAGTTCAAGGAGGCGCGAGGCGCGAGGCACCAGGCACGAGATCCCATGCGCGCTCCACGCAGCCTTGCGGGCAGCGGGTCTGTATCCATGGCAACCGGTGGGCGATCTCCGCCCCGGCGTGGAGCCCAGTTACAATATTAAAGGAATCGATAAATAAATACATAAATAGACCATTACAAGAAAAAAAAAACGACCGCAAGACTAGGCACGCAAACAGAAACACCTTAGGGAATGTCCTTACCCTGGTTTGAATTATTTATAACCCTGTGTATGTATAGATTTTCAGTTAAACAGAGTGAAGTCGCTAAATCTACACCTGTACTACAGGCTACACAAAATAAATAACACCGTTATTTATTTTAAAAAGTGTAATATTTCCAACCGAAGGTCCTAGACAAAGCGTCCGCGAATGAACTTGAGAGACGTCAGTCAATAACAAGAATCAAAACATTTCAGCCCGGCTCAAAACAGGCCGACGACCTCGGTCTCAGATTTCACAATTCCCCGTGTTTTTTGTATACATCCTGATATAATAAGGTTTTTCTGTTCGCCCCCACAACCGGCTGGCAATAACCCCTCACTATTCCGTACATTATTGATGGAGTGTGACGTCGGCTGTTTTCTTGGGAAAACAAGGATGTGCAATTGAAAAATAAAACGCATCCGAAGCGTACATTTGCTGTCGGTTTGTTCCCTGCCCCTGGCGAGGCGCCTCACCTCGTCTCCCTGCCCGAACTGTAAGCCCAGGTGAACGAAATGCTCGACCCGAATATATCCGGCTGCATCCTGGTCGCAGACGTCGAACACCTCCTTCAGCTTCTTCAAGAAGCGCAGCAGCTGCTCCTGCTCGGCGCTGCCCTGCCCGTCCATCCTCCAGAAACGGGGGGCTTTCTCCCGGATCCCGGGGCGCCGGGTCGGCGGCACTGGGGGGGTCTAGCGGGAAGCCGGCGGCAGGACCCGAGCTGCCGGCACCATGACCGTCCTCCTCCTCGACTCCGCTGGAAAGCAGCCCGGCTGTGACATCACAGCCTCACCGGGCCGGGGAGCTCCGCTGGCGGCGGGGAGAGGGAGGGAGGGAGCGGGGAGGGACGAGGGCTGAGGCGCTGGGCGGGGAGACGGAGACTGAGACTGATGGAACGCTTCCAAAAAAAAACAAACACCCCCCCCCCCACGGGACGTCACGTCGAGTCGGTTTCTGGGGTGGTGGGGGGTGTATTCGGAATCAGGACTGTGTTTGCGTTCCCGTACTCTCCCAGACTGACCCGGCTGTGCGCTCACCTGAAGAGCCGAAGAGCTCAGGTGCGACTTTCCTCCGAAACGCGCGAATTTGGCCAAACCTCGACCTGCGGCGCGTCCTGCCGAGAGGGGACGCGGACAGACCGGAAATCCACACCCAGGACCTGCTGCTGTCCCCTCCAGGGGACGCCCTTGCAAGCTGCCCACGCTGAACAAAAGAATATCTCTAGTGTATAGTGGACTGTAACTCAGTCCTCACACGTTCTGCAAGATGGTTTATGCAGCAAACTTGCGAGACGTACAAATCTCTCCAGGACGGACAGGCGAAACCTGCCCTTCAAGGCCAGACCTCCGACTGGACACACTGACCTGTCCATCCCTGCTGGACCAGCTGCGTGTGGCAGTAGCAGCCGATTGCCGGACTTCAGTTCGGTCCCGGTAAAAGCTGGTTACATCGACCACACAAAAAAAACAAATTAAACCTGATTTTGCTGGAGTTAAGATCGCGGTGTTTCACAGATCCCATTTTTGCATTGTCTATTAGAACAGAAATTCACGCCTGGTCTTTCAATTATTTGTGCGTGTGTGTGCGCGGGGGTGTTTTAGTTACATCTCACGGAAAAAAAAAACTGGACCCAGGACTAACCCCGCGCCAGGACTCGCCTCCACAGCGTGATCTTTCCTTTTTATTGCAACGCAGAAGGCCAGCAAGCCAGAAAGAAGCACTGAACTTTCATGATTTAAGGCTCAGCAAGCGTGCGGTCGGCGCATCAGAGCAGCGAGTGTTTCCATTAGCGGCTGAAACATGAGGCGGGAGCCCCGGTTGTCCTCCACACTGTACCCCCACACACCTCTCACCTTCACACTGTACCCCCACACACACAGCCTGGTCTCCTGCCTCTCTCCTCCACACTGTACCCCCACAGACCTCTCACCTTCACACTGTACCCCCCCACACACACAGCCTGGTCTCCTGCCTCTCTCCTCCACACTGTACCCCCACACACCTCTCACCTCCACACTGTACCCCCACACACACACCTCTCACCTCCACACTGCACCCCCACACACACACACCTCTCACCTCCACCCTGTACCCCCACACACACACACCTCTCACCTCCACCCTGTACCCCCACACACACACC